AACTGACCAACAGCTACCCTCTGGGATCTGGCCTGTGCCACCCAGTTGCCAGGAAGCCTGTGCCATCCAGACCCACATGTGCTGAGGGTGGCTCCTGGCACAGTGGCACCCCATCCTCGCCATTCACGTTTTTCTTACACACAGTCCCAAATCTGTTCTCCTAGCTTATCAGTTTGGGAATAAAACTAAAATTGACATGACTATGCCTGGCCCTTGCCTTTTCTAACACTGGAAAAGAGTTTTGGTGGTAAGAGGGCCCCATCATTGTGCAGACAAGGAAAGGAAAAAGAGGGAGGCGAGATGGCTTGCCCAGTGGCACTGCAGGAGTCAGCAGAGCCTGGGAGCCTTAGAAGCTTGCTGACAATTCTTCTACCCAAGCATTGTGATGGATCCTTTCACAAAGACTCACATTTGTAATATCAGCACTTTAGGAGGCCAAGGCACATGGATCACCTGAGGTCCAGAGTTCAAGATCAGCCTGGCCAACATGGTGAAACCCCTTCTCTACTAAAAATACAAAAATTAGCTGAACGTGGTCGTGGGCACCTGAAATCGCAGCTACTTAGGAGGCTGAGGCAGGAGAATTGCTTGAACCTGGGAAGTGCAGATTGCAGTGAGCTGAGATCATGCCATTGAACTCCAGGCTGGGTGACAGAGCAAGAGTCCATCTCAAGAGAAAGAAAAAAAAAAAGACTTACCTCCCTCTCTCACAACTCCTGTCTCCTTTTGGGGCTAAGAAAAACACCAGCACTCTGTTTGTAACAGGATGAAGGTAAATGGGAGAGGAGGTGACTTTGGGACTGGCCTTCTATGAAGCCACGGTAGCGTCATTCCCTCCTGAGGAGACTTTTCCAGGCAGCCACATCTCAGGCGGCACCCACCAATTTCAATCCCAGAAAAAGGAGGCAAGGGAGTCTCTGAGACAGGCTGTCCTTAGACCAGGAGCTAAGGTCAGTGGTGCTCTGCAAACCTTCATCTGAACTTTGTCTCAGGTTTCCTTTTAAGCTCCAGGAAAGATTAGAAGTCACAATCTTAGAAAAAATGGACTTGGGTTTTCATTAAAGTTTTCCTGCATGGGGCATTGGGCAATGGATATGTGAGTTTAGCTTCTGGCAATGGCGACTCCCATTGCTCTGTTTGAATAGAAGCCACCCTCCAGAGGAGAAAGAACAGGTAGTAATGGTGTCTGGATTTCTGAGTCACCTTGGTCAGGATACACCAGGTCAAAGTGCTTACTATTTGGTCATTTGGATGTTTAACTGCCACCGGGCTGGTCTCCCTTGCCTTGATTTTCCCCCGTCTGTCTTTTCTTTACCCAGAGGAAATACCTATTCCTTATCTTACCCTAATCAATAAATGTCTCTGGTGGGTGGCCACTGCTCATCCTTTCAAACGCCTCACCTCAGAGTTGCAGATCCTCCAGCCCACTGGCTCACTGCTCCCTTCACAAGCCTGCTCTTCTGCGAAGCCACATCTCTAAGAGCAACCTAAACTTAACCTTTCTCGTTCAGCTTTCCCACCCGTTGACTTTATTTCAGAGTAGCTCCCTCACCTAGAATACCACCCTGCTCTTGCTACAAATCTCTATCTTCCAAAATCCAGCCATCCAAACTCACCCCTAATGTCACCCGAAGTCTAACATGGTCATTATCTCAATGGTGATGATGAGGAGGAGGATGTTGGTGCATAGCATGGATTATTATGTACCAGGTCATGTGTTAAATGTATGGGGTTTACCTCAAAATCACAGTACAACGTGTAGGTGGTGTTATTATCTCCATTTGACAAAGGAAAAAAAACAACCAATGCACAAAGAGGTGACATGACACTTCACTCCACCATGTATTGTGGTAAGTCATATTCACTTTGCATCTTCCCTTCTAGGGGAGCAGGAGTGGGGTCCTAGGCCTCTTCTTTTGTACCCTCTGCTCCCTGCAGTGCCTGACACATGGTACCTACTGAATATATTGGTTGTCACTTCAGAAGGGCACAATAATTCAGCTGCTTATTATGTTTTCTTGCAATTGGCTAGTTTCTCATTCGGTGACTTGGTTTTACATTTCAGAGATCAAGTCTAGGGTAGACAGAAGAGGGTCATCTACTGCAGCAGAAGGAAGCATCATGTAGTTTCCTGAGGGAGACAGGGAGGAAGGTGGGGGAAACCCTTTCTTCTTCTGTGGGATGGGGCCACGTGTGACCCAGGGCAGTGTATCACTGAATGGCTCCAGTTCTTCAAGCCTGGACAGGACTGACCACAGTTCTGATGGGAGTGGATGGGTAGGGGAGGGTTAAGAGGAAGAAAACAAGAGGTTTGGAACTGGCAACTCTGTGTGTCTGTGTGTGTGTGCACGTGTGTGTGTGTGCTGTATCATGGCATGAACACTAGAGACTCAGGGCTGATTAACTTCACCGGTCATATACCAGAGAGGGGAAAGGCCAATCTCTCTGTGCCCCAGTGCTTTTGTCTCTGGTGGGGGGTACAGGGGCCATGGCTTCCCCTGTGGAGCCCAGGCCTCCTGTGCTAGCTGGCAGTGGAATCTGCATTTCCAGGATCACAGATACCCAGACTCAAGCTTGGTGTTGCCACTTATAAGCCAAGTGCCCTCTGGCAAGGAATGCACTGGTTCTGAGCCCATTTCCACCTGTGTTAATGCTGGGTAACATACCTATATTTCAGGGTTGGTGTCAGGGCTGGATGAGGCAGTGTACACAGACCATGGGCGTGGGGCCCAGGCTGTGGCACAATGAAGAAGAAGGTAGAGCTTCATCTCAGGTCCCACGGCCCATTTGAACTCACGTGGACACTGCTTTATGCACACGTGATGCTTCTCTGTTATGAAGGCCTCAGTCCCTGGGACCCCTCAGGCCCCGCTTTCCCCAGCAAGTGTTCCTTCTGCTCCAGGAGAAGCCTGCCTTCAGGGGGATCAAAACCACATTGTATGCCCACTGGATTGTCCTTTGCATGGCTTTAAGAAGCAGAATTCTACCCTGTTTCTGATACCCCATAATAAGAAATGATATTGTTTGATGCTGCTTTGATTTAATGGGTCTTTAGTATGCATGACCTAGAATTTTGGAGACCATGACTATAATTTGGGGCTTGTAGTTAAGTACAGGTCAGAGGCTGAACATAATTCACCACTGCTGTGTGTCCTTGGGTCTTCCATGTGTCCCCCTTCATTCTTTGATGAAGATTGCTTTAGGATATTCTATTTCCTTCCTTATCTCCATGCCCATCTTCTGAATTCAGGCAAAGAATAATTCCACTTTAAAAGTTGGTCTAAGAAGCTCTAGGTTGATCGGTTGCTTTGAGCTCACCTAAACCCAAAGCCTCACTCTATGGATGAGGAAAATGGAGGTTGAAAGAGATTAAGTAACATGTGCAGGTAATTACAGAGGTGAGTGGCAGATCCAGAGGAGTAAACAGGCCCCAGTGTTCCCAGAGTAGAGTGTTTTTCAGCTCATGTTGCTCTCAGCCTGAGTCCATGGGATGTTTCCTGTGCCTTTATACTTTCTATACAATTATTTATTCAATGTTTTTCTTCAAATTGACTCATATTTTTATTTTAATAAATTTATCTTAAAGGGAAATTTTATATCATGACTTTACGAAAAGACAGTATCGTTTGCCACTAATAGGAAGTTATAACTAAAGACAATGCAAAATAGTATATGAGATTATAACTGTATATTGTTGCCTGGTCAAAGAAAACATACTGGAAATTCGTTCTCTTTTATTAGAAAGGAGGATTGGCAAGTTTCAGGGGTGTTAAGACCTAGAAGACTAAACCAAAACTGATTCTGGACCTGATTCCAATGCCGTCTAATGTCATCTTTATATTCATGAGAAGAATTTTTCTCCAGTACCATCAGTCATATAATTCTCACACTTGGAGACCACTACAGGGAACAGTGTAGCCACATCAGATCCCCTTGTTTCTTTAGTGGTCAGCAGACTCCTCACCTTTCCTTGCCCAGCAAGCTCCATCAAGAATATTAAACTTAAAAACACTTCCTAGATGTTTAGTGACAAAATGCCCAATGAACGCCTGACTTCCCTTCGTTTTCATATGTTGAGGAATACATGTTGAATTTAGGCATACATTTTCATAAATTTTCTTATGGACTATTTTGTTCACCTCAGAAACAATGTCAAGATAATTCAATTTTAAATAATAAGTCAGGGAAGTTGATCTCAGCAGTGGAAAATGCTGTGATTTAAATTGCCAATATACAAATACTTATAGTTCTTGAATACCACTGCCAACTGTGCCTGCCGGAAGTTAAATTCTCAATAGCTTGCTCTGATTGATGCAGGCATTAGTCATTAAAAAAAAAAAAAAATGTTGAACTAAGTAATTTGCATCCAAAGGATGACATCAGTAACACCATGAACTTGTTGTTCTAGAAACTGACCACTAGATGGCGAACTTGCAATTCAAAAATAAAATAACTCAGCCTCTGCGGTACAAGCATTTTACCAAATGATCTATTGTACTTACAAACCTGCATCTACACAGCGAGAAGGTACTACTTGTCCTGAAGATGGTATTCTTTTCTTTTCTACCAGACTTTGATATTTCTCTCCCTCTTTCCTCAGGACAGGTCACTTCTCCCCACAGTCAGTGTTTCTGTGTGAGTTCACCTTTAAAACTTTTGAGTGTATCATTATTGTATTCCCAGCCCTGTGACTGAGTAGGAAAACGTGTTCCTTAAGATGTGGTCTCTTTCTTCCCCCTGCCTTGACACTACTCACTCCTGAGCACGAGGGCTTCACATCATCAAGCCTCATTCCTGAATGCGAATCCAGTGCAGCCTGCAAAACCACCCTGATTTGTGGGAAATTTTTTCTTCTCTGTGAATCACACACCAACTTTATTCTCCTCTATAATGACAGCAATAAATCCTCTTTAAAGTTTCTTTTTAAAAGAAATTTCTTATCAATGGAGTGATTGTTCTTGTACCAACTCTTTAAATATGGCTATAATGAGATATATGAGCCTAGTTCTCAGAGTGAGGACAGGAAGTAGGAGTGACACCTTTGTGCAGCAGGGTCTAAAACAATAGAATACATTGAGATCATTGCAGCAAATCAGTTGGTTTATTTGGAAGTTCTAATTTAGAGCTGTCTCTTTCCCCCATGGCTAATGGTGTGTATGAGCACATGTGCATGTATGTATGTGTGTGCTTGTGTATGTGTATTGGTCCATAAGGGAGGAGAGCAGAAGAACTGAAACATTTACTTATTTTCTTTCTATATAAATAGGTACATCAACAAAATCAAGCACAAAAGAGATTCTTTGTGGCTGGGGTTTCCTGGCTGCAGCCCCAGAACCTAAGAACCCAAAGCTCTGTTCCCAAGTGGACTCTCCTAATTTGCTAAATAACCTTGGGCAAGTCACTTAACCTTCCCAAACCTCAGCTTCTCCATCTATAAAGGAGGATGCAGAGCACTGTCTCTTCCCAGTTTCCCTGGGAAGTTGTGAGGATTAATGATGACAGAAAGGCAGTCAAAGGTCTAGAATTTCTTTAAGAAAGGTGCTGCTTCCCCTTGGATGAGAGTCCTAAAAATAAATAGCATAAAAACACCAGCAGTCCAGGCCAAAGTCGCAGGGGCTCTGTGCCCTGTGGTTTCCACATTTTCTGTTCCTCAAAGAGGGTTGGTGGGGACCAAACAAAACAAAACACGTAATAAAGCCTTTGTTTGACAAAATTCTCACTGGATTTTTATCTGATCACTCTGTGTCTATAGATGAAATGATTTCTAAACGTCCTGAAAGAACTGAAAGGAAAAAATGTCTCTGCCCAAAGACGCCAGACATTCCTGCCTAACCCTTCATCGCATAGAGAGGAAAGAACTCCTCTGACAATTAGCCTTCTATTTTGGTGACAGTAATTATCACCATTAGAGGCTTTGCTTTTGCTCTTATGATGAAATATATATTCATGCTGCAGAGGCCCCAATCTGAGGACTATTTGGGCAGAACCCAAAATGCAAGGGAAGGATCGATTTTAACCTATTTTAAAACATTTGATCTGATTTGATATTTCTAGTTTTCAACGGCTTACAGCAAATAGATGAAAATAAATGTCTTGTCACATGTTGTGCTGTGGACTATGCCTTTTGGTTTTCAAAGACTCCTGAAAACAGGAGGAGAATCCTCTATTAGCTGTGTCTGATGCCTCAGGATTTTCCAGCTGTCATTGTTCAAAGGTCTATTTTTTGGAGCCTGGTGGAGTGACCAAGTGGATTATTTACTCTAAAATTCTGTAAGTGATCTGTTTCTGAGTCTTTTGGCTAGAATAATAAAAAGGGCTGGGGCAGAGAGGGAAGCAGCAAGTCCACACAGTGTTTGTGGGTGTATATGCATTCTTGTGTATATTTTCAGGACAGACATCTAATTCTGATTATTTGGAGAGGAGGAAGAACAATGAATAAGCATGGGTCATGCTGCTGCTAGCTTCCTTTTATGGAGTCTAATTCTTACAGTGGCCCACTGCCTTGAGTAAGGCTTTGCTCTCTAAATAATTAATTTGCCTTTATGCAAACGTATTTGCCTCTTACAAATCCTAACACACACCACTGAGGACCCAGGCTCAGCAAACCCACTTTCAAGCACGTAAATAATTGTCTTCGAATACTTAACAATTAATCTTGGTAAAAGGAGAGCTAAACATCAGTATACTCTATTAATTTAAAACAGATATTAGCTGCTTGGTGTTAGAAAAGGTTATAAACCTATATACCGTTGTAAACCTACATGGTCAGTAAGTTTAGTTAGCTGGAATATGTTAAGTAGTACAAAGGGATAGTTTTGATGTAAATATTCAAACCATTTGCTTCAATCTATTTCACAAGTATTTGTGCAAACTGATATTTTTTTTTTTAATGAAGGCCCTGAAATCAAGAGGAGCTGGGCTTGAGAGTATAAATTACTTAATAGGGTTCCTCACTCCACCTGTAGCAAAACTCAACACACATAGTCTATGACAATGGATGAGCAGCATATTCTTAGAATTTGAGTGTGAAATACACATAAGTAAAATCCCAACCACTGGGATGCCAGATTCATGGTAGGGAGGGATTTTTGTAAAAAAATATGCTAAGACGGGCCAGGTGCGGTGGCTCACGCCTATAATCCCAGCTGCTCAGGTGACCGAGGCATAATAATTGCTTGAACCTAGGAGGCCGAGGCTGCAGTGAACCATGATCATGCCGCTGTACTCCAGCCTGGAAGACAAAGTGAGATTTCATCTCAAAAAAAAAAAAAAAAAAAAAAAAAGAGATATATGTAGTGACCAGCCTGGCCAACTTAGCAAAACCCCATCTCTACTAAAAATACAAAAAGTTAGCCAGGCATGGTGGCACATGCCTGTAGTCCCAGCTATTCAGGAGGCTGAGGCAGTAGAATTGCTTGAACCTGGGAAGCAGAGGTTGCAGTGAGCAGAGATCATGCGACTACACTCCAACCTGGGCAGCAGAGGGATACTCCATTGTCTCCCCTGTTGAGAGAGACATGGAACAGATTCTCCCTCAGAGCTTCAAGAGAAACCAACACTGCCCACATCTTGATTTTGAACTTCTGGTGTCCTAGACTGTGAAACAATAAATTTCTGTCATTTAAGTCACCCAGTTTGTGGTATTTGTTGTTACATCAGCCCTAGCGAACTAACACACAAGGGTGCTATGATATTACCTCTATTTCACATACGGAAACTTGCCCAACATCTAGTTAGTCAGTGATGGGTGCTGGATTCAAACTCAGGCCTGATGCCAAGGTCTACATGCTTTTGGCAACACTTTCCAGATCACCGTGCACATGATGTTGCAAATTTGATCCCTTCACTCTTAGTCTAAGTTCTATGGGAACAAACGTTATGGCCTCATGTCTGTAGAATGGAGAGACCACATTGTAACACACTAACCTGATCTCTCTCTCCCTCTCTCTCTCTCTCTCACACACACACACACACACACACACACACACATATTTAGAGAGAGAGAGAGAGAGAAATCCTTAGTTTCTAAGCCTCGTCTGTCTCTACCACCACCCTCCTCAGGTTACAATGTGAAAATACTGTGCCCACCCTCATCACTTTACAGCGAGGGGACAGAAGCCTGGTTGGGGTTCTCTGACCATCGTTCCCATTTCCACCCCTGCTCTGCTTTCAGATACTCCTCATTCCCTTTCAACTCAGCCAACAGAGCTTGGGATAGAGGAGGACAGAGCAAGAGGGCCCTCCTACACAGGGGGTTATGAAGTTTCCCTCCAACCCCAGGGTCCCTGAGCCATGAAGCCCTAATGTCTCCCTGTTATCCTCATAAAACTGACTCATTCACACTAACTCCTCTGTCTGAAGCTTGACTTCAACATCAGCTGACATGCTCTTAATCCTCGCTGATTTTCTGACATCTTGGGGTTTAGCTTTGTCCTAACCTTGTTCCCCCAGCTCAAGTTTGAGTTTACAAACTTGTGCAGCTGACCGAGCCCAGTCCCTCCCACAGGCTGTCAAACATCTGGCACTGGAGCTGTCTCTCTATAGGCCCGTGTCCCCAAAGCTGCATGGCTGCTTGTGAATTCTACTCGAAAAGAAACTTTCTTCCTGGACTCACAAAGGCAGTGATGCCTCTGCATCCCTCACTTTTGTGTGTGTGTGGTGGTGGATTTGGTCATTTCTGCACCTGTTTTGTGATTGTTGATATTGTTCTTATTAACTGAAATCCTAGAAGAATGGGTACCAGGTAGGTTCACTAGATTTATCCTTTGAAAAAACCCACATAGACTTTTGTTCTGCAGAACTTCCTTTCTGCCACTAGACTTAATTCTTAAGGATAGGGATGCGGCATCAGGGTAAACAGTGACATAAACAAAACTTCTCGTGTTGGGCACATTTCCTCAGCCTCCAAGATTTTTCAACAGGCCAGCTTTCGGGAAACGATCTTGTTAAAATTCTTGGTAAACTCACCACTATCTTAAATTGCTTTTAGCTGGTTTCTATCAAGATCAGGGCAAGCAGAGAGGCAGAATAAATTTCCCCTGGATGAGCTGTATCCTAAAGTGGTACTCCCAGCCAGAGTAAGGAACAAGCAGGGAGAGCCAGGAATCATCAGCACTGATGAATATTGATTATGTACATACCTGGTGCTGGACAGCTGAGGAACAGGAGTGATGATCAGAAATCAAGGGATAGGGGATTTTGGAAGCATTATAAATGGTTGTGTTAAAATGAGGTAGCTCATGAGCCTGCAAATAAAGTATCAAAAAAGGAGAAGGCGGGTGGACTCTCCTAGGACCATAGTGTGAAGGTATCCTTGAAATAATTGAATTGATGAAGGAAGGAAAGAGTTGAAGACTATGTAAAAAGAGTATTAGCTGTTGGTTTGCCTACTGTAGATAGAGCACTTTTTTGGCTATTTATTTCCTTGACTTTTTTTTTTTTTTTTGCCAGATTGTGTGTTTGAAATTTTCTTTTTTGATCTTTAAATAGTCCTGGGGGAAATACTTATAAGGCAGACAAGATGTTTGCAAACTTTTGTGTGTTTCATTAAAAGGTAAATATTACAGAGGAGGTTGTAGACCAGATCAGTTGCTGTAGTGTAATTAGCTAAGCAAATCTACCCTTTCCTTTCCCATGATTACAGTGAGGTCATTCACCTTAGTTTGTCTATCAGTAAATTGCGGATGCTACATTTTACCAACTAGCTGACTTGGTATTTCAAAGGATTTTAAGCATCTCTAAAACTATAATAAGATTTATAGCTCTGTACATTTTGTGCAGTGATAGAAAGTTACTGCTCTATGTCATCATTATTCTGAAATCTTCAGGTATTTGCAATAATTTAAGACCATGACAATGAAGGATTTAGCCAAAGAATCTGGCATATTGCTCTTTTCTTATTCTGGGTAAGGTTTTGAATTAATGCAATTGAAATTTTAAGAAATAGAGCTTATATTTTCTCAATATCAAGTGCAATTATTAAATTTTTATACTTCTGCTGTATTTCTTAACCCTTTATAAGCATTTAAAAACATGCTTTTTCTATTATTTTTCCTAAATAGGTTTTTGTGGCTATTAGTAAAGCCCCATTGGTCTCATTGGCCAGCTGCCATTCAATATTTACCAATAAGTAGGCAGGCATGAAAGGCCAGATTTGTTTACATGACAGTGATTGTCTCTGTGAGAAGCATTTGTAGCACATTGTTTTTAAAGGCAGCTTTACTTCCACTCGAAGGAATAGCTGAGTCTCAGACATTTCTTTAAATTTTACTGTAGTTTTCTATTACATTCCTAAATAAGATGAAAAATACTTAGGTAATCCACAGATTTCTAATAAAATAATAGTTTATGTCTATAATTGGGAAACACAATCTCATAGTTATGCTGACTACTGAAGAGGCCAAAGAAGCACTTTTTAAAAGCAGCATGTTCTCAGAGGAAGGGAAATAGCATTTTGTGAACACCTACTATGAGCCAGGCACCGTGCTAAATGCTTCTCTAAATTGTCAAATAAAATATTAGTTATCAGGTCATGGCATGGCGTAGTGGGTCAAATTGTGTCTCTGCCCCCAAAGATGCGTTTAAGTCCTAACCCAAATGTAACCTTATTTGGAAATAAGGTTTTTTGCAGATTTAATTGAGTTAAGATGAGGCCCTACTGAATCAGCACGAGCCCTGAATTCAGTGACTGGTATCCTTATAAGAGAAAGGTGAAGGAGTCTGGACATAGAGATACATAGGGAAGAAGGTCATGTGATGAGAGAGGTGAATGGAGTAGTGCAGACACAAGCCAAGGGATGCCAAAGATTGCCTGCCACCACCAAGACCTAGGAGAGGGGCATGAACAGATTCTCCCTCAGAGCCTCCAACCCTGTCCACATCTTGATTTTGAACTTCTGGCCTCCTGAACTGTGAAAGAATAAATTTCTGTCATTTAAATCACCCAGTTTGTGGTACTTATTGTTACATCAGCCCTAGTGAACTAACACGCAAGGGTGCTATGATATTACCTCTATTTCACATGCAAGAAACTTGCCCAGCATTATCTAGTTAGTTGGTGATGGGTGCTGGATTCAAACTCAGGCCTGACACCAAGGTCTACATGCTTTTGGCAACACTTGCCAAAAAATCACTGTGCACACAATGTTGCAGATTTGATTCCTTCACTCTTCAGTCTAAGTTCTATGGGAACAAACATTATGTCCTCATGTCTATAGGCTGGAGAGATCATGCTATACATGCTGACGTGCTTTTAGTACTTTTAGTAACGAAGACTCCATAGGCTAAAGCCAGCTCCTGGTATATCAGAGTGTCCCTTATGACAGCAAACTGATGTGAAATTATGCATGAAGTGGTTAAATATTTGAAACATACTAACTAGATTAATTGAGTTTTCCATCTTTGATGAGACCTATAAAGATGTTTGCTGTTGTCACTAACACTAATTCCTACTGAGTTCCTAGGACAAATGGCAGATCCAGGGAAAATTACTCTTACTTTCAGATGTTGGTTGTTTTGCTTTTCAGTTTATACTGCCTTCCCCAAAAGATTTAATTTTTGTTTCCTAAAACCCACATAAAAATTTAAAATTCAGTTAAGGGTTCTGTAACCTATGCATAATATTAGTTTATTTGGAAGCATCTATCCTTGAAATAATAAATCAAATGTGGATCTTTTGGTGTTATTAACTTTTCTGCATTTGAATAAATTCAGAACATTTGATCTTGACAAATAAGGAATAGCTTCTGTTCCAGGAATCCTTGCTAGAGGTGGTTGTTTTTCTTCCAAATGAGTTGACTATAGTACAAGGAACCCAGGCCAGGTTGTGAGTAAAACACAAGTCGACTTCGGTGCTGGTGGAGAAGGAAGAGGAGGACCTGGCCCAGAAGACCTCTCAGGGCTGTGGTCCCCTCCCCTTGGGCAGGGGACAAGTCATGCTGATGGTGTAAGATGGTAAAAGGGATGGAGCCCTCCTGAAAGCTCTGTGAACTCCAAGATGACCAGGTCCTTTCTTGCCCAACAGTGAGGCTCAGCAGGAAGCAGGATGCTCAATCCAAATAAACACCAATCCTTGGCCGGGCGTGGTGGCTCAAGCCTGTAATCCTAGCACTTTGGGAGGCCGAGGTGGGTGGATCACGAGGTCAAGAGATCGAGAACATCCTGGTCAACATGGTGAAACCCCGTCTCTACTAAAAATACAAAAAATTAGCTGGGCATGGTGGTGCGTGCCTGTAATCCCAGCTACTCAGGAGACTGGAGATTACAGGAGAATTGCCTGAACCCAGGAGGCGGAGGTTGCGGTGAGCCGAGGTCGCGCCATTGCACTCCAGCCTGGGTAACATGAGTGAAACTCCGTCTCAAAAAAAAGAAAAAAAAAAACAAAACACCCAATCCTTTAAAAACTTATAGAAAAAGCCGTTCATATGTTCACTTTTCAAACACGACATTGGCTGCTAGCTTCAAACTGGTGTATTACGGTCAGGTCCTATCAATAAGCTGCATCTTTCAGGTCGTAACCATCAGTGACTTTAGGAGACAGGCAGGCTATCAGAAAAAAAAAAAAAGTCTTGGAATAGAGTAGCACTTGCTTGGAGAACCTCAGGCTCCACAGAAAGGGTTTCATGGGGACCTTACCAGAACAATGGCAGTATTGAATTTTGAATGTTTTATTTTCCGATCTCAACTCATCCTTGTGTGTACTGTAGAATATCTACCAGCCACACATTTGACTACACAGTGTCTCCTTTCAGACAGCTTGGCCTAGAGCGTCATCATGTTTCTCCTACTCACCCCCCAGTTCCAGCTAAGAGGGCAGGAAGGTGTATCCTGGCCTTTTCTTCAGCAGTCTGTGGACTAATCTTTGACATTGTGAGCAGAGTGTCACTGAAGCATTGCTATAGATCAGGGATATACTCTATGAGGGGAAAGGTAGGCGTGGTAATATGAGTCCCCAGGAAGAGGGGCTTCAGAGCACCGTGGAACCTTGGGATGGCATAAGTGAACTTGCGAATGTTCCAGGATGCTCCAGGTGCTTCTGATTGCTTTTCCCTCTCCCACTAGCAGAAAAACGCATCTGCAGGTAAACAAACCCTAGCCTCTTAGTACCCATATAGCGCAAACAAAAAAAAATGGAAGAATAATAAGTCCTTTTTTGGTCAGTATTTTCTTCTTTCACCATTTTGAGGTAAATAGTGGGCAAACAAATGGTTTGCTTACAGATGCACAAGTATTTCCAAGCGCAATGAGAGGCCAATGTTGTCTGTTCTATTTTCCTCTTCTTGAGTGTTTATATTCTCTTTATTAGATCATTCTCCCACCCACTTGATTCTTGTCTTGTTTCTTTGATTTAGAAAATTGTTTTTGAACTTTTAGACAAGTACAGAGAATAATGAAACACCTTTACCCATTTTCAAGAATTAATAAATATTTACATTTTGATGTATTTCCTTCAGATCTTCTTTTAAAAAGCTTTGTTGAGGTAAAATTTATATGCTCTACAGTTCACCTATTTATAATGTACAACTCATAGTTTTTGGTATAATATATTCTTTTAAAAAATTATGGTAAAATATATATGACATAAAATTTGCCATTTTAACCATTTTAAGTTACAGTTCAGTGTTATTAATTACTTTCATAATATTATGCAACTACCACCACTATGGTTTTCACCACTAAAATTTGGTCATCACCCTAAACAGAAACTTCATAACCACTGAACAAGTTCTCACTCTCCCTTTCCTTTGACCTTGGTAATTGCTAATATATTTTCTGTTTCTATGAATTTGCTTGTTCTAGACATTTCATGTAAGTAGTATCATACAATATTTGTTATTTTCTATCTGGCTTATTTCACTTAGCAAAATGTTTCCAAGTTTCATCCATATCACAACATGTGTCAGAGCTGCATTTATTTTTATGGCTACGTAATAGTGTATTGCATGTATATATCACATTTGAAAAATCCGTTCATCAACTGGTGGACACTTGGGTTGCTTCTATCTTTCGCTATTGTGAATAATCTTGTAATGAACATTGGCATATAGGTATCTGTTCGAGTCCCTGCTTTCAATTCCATTAGGTACATAATTAGATGTGGAATGGCTGGGTCATGTATAACTCTGTTTAGCTTTTTGAGGAACTGCCAAACTGTCTTTCATAACAGATGTACTATTTTCCCACAAGCAGGATACGAGAGTTCCAATTTCGCCACATCTTTGACAACACATATTTTCTGTTTTTTGATTTTGGTTTTGGTTGTTGTTGTTCTTGTTAATGTTTTTTGAATAGCCATTTTAGTTGGTGTGAGTGAAGTATCTCATTGTGATCTTGATTTGCATTTCCTAATGACTAATGATACTGAGCATCTTTTTATGGTTTATTGGTTGTTTGTATATCTTCTATGTTGAAATGTCTATTCAAATTCTTTTCCTTTATTTAAAAAAATTGGTTGTCTTTTGTTGTTGCATTACAGGCATTCTTTACATGTTCTGAAAGCTAAACCCTTATCAGAAACATAGTTTCCAAATATTTTATCCCACTCTTTTGGTTATCTTTTCTTTTTCTTGATAATGTCCTTTGATCTTCAAGAGTTTTAAATTTTAATGAAGTCTACTTTATCTATTTTTCCTTTTGTCGTTCTTGCTTTTGGTGTCCAGATCTCCAGATCTTTATTTTTTTTAAGATGAGAAATAAAACACAGCTTGTAAAGATGTTGTTCCCTCTGGATTCTTCCCCAATGTAGTTCCCCTCTCTCCACAGAGGCTACCATTATCAAGAATTTGGTGGAACATTTCCTACCCATATTTTTATATCATTGATACTTATATATACACTAATCACAAATAACATTTTGGTACACTTTTAAAATTGTACATAAATTTTATCGTTTTTCTTTCTGCACTTTTTTGAGCCCATATTTGAGATCTATTCATGTTGATCAACATTGACTTATTTTATTCATTTTTGTTGTTATATGTAGTTGATCAAATGATTAGGAGGTCATATTCAAAATATTTAACAACTGGCATGGCTCTGGAACTGACCAACACACATAGGTGCTCATTATAAACAGCAGTAACTCTGTACCTATGTGTACCTGCACACACTTGGCTGAATACCAGCTCAGCTTTCACACTTTATTTATTCATTCCATTACTGTGGAAATTTAGATTGTTCTCAATTTTTCATGATTATGAATAATACTGATAGAAATATTCTTGTAGCCTTCTCTTCATGCATATGTGTGAGAATTTCTCTAGGACACATACTTAGGAATAGAATTGATGGGTGGTCTGCTGCCCACATGTTCTATTTTATTTTCCCTGTTGTATCAGAATTGTGGCTAAGGCTTAAAGATGAGGACAAAAGATGTTAAGTTCCCCACATTCCGTATAACCACTATGATGTCATAGCAATTGTGATCAGCTACCTCCCAGGATGTACTACTGAGAATCACCAATGCCGAGAACAGGTTATTGTAACCACTTCCACCCAATCAACTTAAGTAGAGAACAGGAAGAAAGGAGGGGGTCTTTCGGGGCAATACTAAGTTCATGAAGAGAGGATATTCCCTCTCTTGACATAACCACAATATTCACCATAAAAGCTAAGGAAAGAAGACCAAAGATAATCACTGGTAAAGGCTTTCTGGGCATCTGTCAAAACAATGATCCTTCCCTTCCCCAAACAACCTGATCAGAGTCTGGTCCTTTTTCATGGGAAATTGGTTGAGAAATTGGACCTTCAGAGTATCTGATGCTGCCAGGGTGTGGAGGAGGAGGCAGGAAAGAAGGCAGGACTGAGAGAGCGGCAGCTGCCCTCCCACCATCTAGCATGGGAAGTATACCACTGCTGGTTTACATGAATTAAGAGAACATCATGGAACATGCCTGTACGTGAGCCATCTTTGTGGTACATCCACCAGGGTGCCATTCTCTAGGGGAACATCATGCTCTGTCAAGACACTGAGGCAAGGTCGTAGAAGTGAAGGCAGGATAGATCCCATGTCAAACAGTTACTCAAGGCATAGGTTCCCATAGAGCCCTTCAAAGAATCCACATCCGTGCCCCATGAGAGCCCAGCATTTGGATGCTGTCATGGAGGAGGACATCAACAGCTCATTGGCATGGCCCAGAGATGTAACTAGAACTACAGAGAGAAGACTGCACCCTCACCCAATCACACAGGAAATATCTTCACCGTTTTCCCTTTCCTCTTGCCCACTCAACTCAAGAGGAAGAAGAAAAGCCATAGAAAGCTGGTATCTGAGAGTCTGCCAGCTGGGACTCCACCTCCACTGGCTGAGAGAGCCCTAGCAGTAGCTGCAGCCAAGAGAAGGAGGAAAAGAGCTTTGCATCAGATAAGAGATCAAAACTTGGAAACAAGCAGGACTGACTTTTAAATGCACCAATAAGCAAAAGGCATAAAAGCTAGATAATTTGGCCAAAGGTTATTAAGGGAGCCTGTCCTCAGCTGGCAGGGAGACTCAACATGGTGCAGTTAGGGCATTCGTCAGAGGGAATAAAATCGCATCATGTTTATGATCCAATGAGACTAGACTGCTCAATAAATGAGTGAACCTCAATAAACCAGGAACTGCCCAGGAGCTCTCCAATGGGAGCTCATTTATATTCCCCTCCTCGGGGAATGAGAGTTCCATTGACAATCTGATGGGTGTACAGTGATATCTTTAGTGTCGTTTCTACTTGTTTAGATCTTCTTGTTATTCATGAAAAGCATTGATTTAGAGGAAAAAAAAATCAAGAAAACAATCTGACCAAAATCCAAGAAAACTGCCAAAAGAGTCATCATTATATCGAGTCCATTTTTGTTTTCACGAAGAGAAATTAGCTTGCACCAAAATATTAATGTTGAAGTAGCCAAGAAAACTTAGCCAGTTCAATACTTTTCCTTCATCAGAATCCTGGCTTCCTGAGGGCCCCTAAAAGCTCTCCCTTCCTCCCTTCTGCCCGTCTCCTCTCAGAGATGTCAGAGGCATCTGAAGATATGGGCCTGTAGTCTTGGGAGGCTCTACCTCTGGTCTTTTGTTCAGAACATGTTGCTGAATGTTCTGCTCTCAATTTTCCACCCATTTGCCTTGCCCTGGACCTGCATCTCTGCTGGTGCTTAGCATCTTCAGATAGATAGCCAGACTGGTTTTCAGCGCAGATTTGCCTCCATGAGGATGTTTTGCCTCCACGAGGATGGCTCACAGCTAAAGCCCATGGGCTTGGACTGCATCTTGCCTTCTCCCCTCCGTCACCAACCCCCAGAGTCCAGCCTCCAGGGATCCTGGGTCTGGGAGGAGGGCTGAGCCCACCTCGAATACGTAGGAAGGGAGTTTGAACACATTCTGCATCCAATCCCCCTACACTTTGTTGTTAATTTAAATGGATGGATTTGCAGGCTAATTGTTATCCTGCCACCCTCAGCTGACAGGATGTATCAAGGGAACGGCCCTTGAAGGTAAAAGAACAGTACAGCTGGATTTAAGTAATAATGTGTCTCTCACAAACCTGCACAAGTTGCAGTTTGATGAAAATTACAGTCAAACCTTGTGTTGTAAAGTGCTGTTTACTGGAGAAAAGAAAAAAAAATCCTGTAAGATATAGAAATAGTATGTGAGACAAGCTGGCAGGGTGTTCGGAAGCATTATGATGTGTAAAGAATTCCTTGACAATGACAGATCACCTCGGGAACATCTGAGTGGGGCCTTTTGTTTATCTTCACTTGCCTTTGCATTTATGTCATGTCTTTCACTTGGGGGTGAGATTTCGTCTTTGGAAGTTGAAACAATTTTTAACTCCAGAAATGTTTACTCGGTTTTCATGAACTTGTTTTTTGCGTCTCCTCACCACACATCACGCTTCTACTTCCCTCTCTCTCCCACTGCCTCTTTGCCTTCCTTCCAGCTGGGGTGTGTCAGTCCTGGATACCAGATGCAAAATGATTAAGCCAGTGCTGTTTTCCAAGTTGGACTTGTTATTGATTAGCACTTCCTAAATCAAACAGAATTGCTGATCACTATCGCAGGGCATCCACCACTTGCTTGGGATCCAAGTTCTGCTGCAGTGCTTGTGCCTGAACAGGCATAGGGGTTTTTGATGTGTTCCCCCAACTTAATCATTGCTGTTCCGGCAAAGAAAGAAGAATGGCAACTTTCATCACCAATTCGTGTTTCTTAAGCTCCGACTGCGTGTGTGGCTGTGTGCAGTCACACAGGGGACTTTGACAATTAGCAGGAACCACTGTCTTTACTTTCCTTAGCTGTGATAATTAATGCCTTAGGACATTTTTATGAGTTGGTATGTGCCTGGCACATGACACATAGTACTGAGAGTCAGTTACATATGACTCTCTTACAAGGATGAGGAATTTAACAAAGAGGTCATTTTGTCCATTTGATTTGTAGATACACTAGCAGGCAATTTGAAATGTTAGTGAAATAAAATTAGAGAGGGTCTGCTTGCAAATCAGCCACTACCCAGTCATCTGTCCAAGAGTCTGAGGACCAACCTCAATCTTACATCACCTTGCCTCCCAAATTCTGCTCTTGGTAACATATCAGGACACAAGTTGGCAACCGCCATGTACATGTATGTTTCTTTTAAACCCTGCACCCTGTCCCCTAGCCTACCCTGAAAAGATACTGGTGAACTTTTAAATACTTTTATTTTGAACAACAACAAAAAAAAATTAGCTGGGTGTGATGGGTGCCTGTAATACCAGCTACTCAGGAGGCTGAGGCAGGAGAATAGCTTAAACTTGGGAGGTGGAGGTTATAGTGAGCTGAGAGAGTGCCATTGCACTCCAGCCTGGGTGTCAAGAGCAGAACTGTGTCTCAAAAACAAAACAAACCCCACCTTTCATTTTGAGATGATTCCAAATTTAAAGAAAATTACAAGATTGGTATAAGGAACTCCTATAAATCTTTTACATATCTTCACCAAGTGTTATCTTTTTGCTCCATTACATTATTCTCCCTCCCTCTTTATCTGCTCCCCACACACATACACACACTCTTCTATAATTGTTTTCCTTAACCATATGAAAGGAAGTTGTGTACAATTCTCCTTGTCCCCAAATACTTTAACGTATATGACTTGAAAAGAAGAATATTCTTTTACATGACCACAGTACTATAAATTCCATTTAACATTGACACAATACTACTATGTAAATTTAGCCCATATTCAAATTTTATTAACCCTACTGTTATGGACTGAATTGTGTCTGCTCAAAATTCATAAATTGAAGGCTTATCCCCCAGTGTAAGAGTATTTAGCAATGGCCTTTGAGAGGCCATGAGGATAGCAGGGTCCTGGTCTGACGGGCTTAGTGCCCTTATAAGAGGAGACACAAGAGAGCTTTCTCTGTCTCTTCCTGCCATGTGAAGACACAGCCAAAAGGTGCAAGTCAGAAAGAGAACCTTCA